AGAGGCGTAGCTAGGGTGGGGCAGGGAGGGGGTACATATGTCCCCGGGCGCCAAGGTACAGGGCGCCAAAACGAGGCTTACAACGTTACATTATAATAAGTAAAATAGAAAAATGTAATTTAACGTGGAGGGGGCTGGGGCGCCAATTTTATAGTTCGTCCCCGGGCGCAAAATATCATAGCTACGCCTCTGCACAGTGGGTGGAACATGCTTGAATACAGCGTCGACGTAGTCGCATACGGGCGCTTTTGTCCCGAGTTTGGGGAGGGGAACTCGGGCCGTTGAAGAAGCACTGCCTAAAATCAAGATCCGAGTACAATGTACAGCTGTTTTGTAAAACGCAGCTGCCAGCCAAACCATGGTGATGTATGGGACCACAAAGTGTATGTGTGTGTGTTCATGGACGAAAACATAAAGTTCCCTACTTCACCCTGGGTATCGAAGCTAACTACTGGCGTGCATATGTTATGCTTGACAAGTCACCAGGCTTTACCCAAGCCGGATCAGAGCATCTCGGTGAAAACGTGTACGCTTGGGCAACCCTAAATATTTGCCTCAATAATGGAGTTAGGAAAAGCTTTTAACGTAGAGAAACAGTTTAGTGGCGTGACCCATATTATGATCTCTCTCTCTCTCTCTCTCTCTCTCTCTCTCTCTCTCTCTCTCTCTCTCTCTCTCTCTCTCTCTCTCTCAGATAAGTATCAATCACAATAGTTTAACACTGCATAATGTAACCGTACGGTATATTTATTAATTTTTTAAAGGGGTGGGGACAGCTTAAGTGTGTATTGTCCACCCTATATATATATATATATATATATATATATATATATATATATATATATATATATATATATATATATATATATATATATATATATATTCAAACTGGCCAATTGTAGATCCAAGGTCTTTTACTATATTCGTCGGGAACTAAAAAAAAAAAAGAAAGGACCCACACAAAACCGCTGTGTGTGACGTGATCAGCCTAATGGGTAGCATTTAGTGTCAATTTGCATTGAAAATAAAGATTATATTTCTTTGTAGCATGTTTAGCGCCAGGTCCCTATCCTACTACAGGTAAAGCGGTGAAAACTATCAACTATTGGTCCAGCGTGCCAGGTCTACGCCTCTGCTACAGCTATTCGTGCAGGACAACAGAATAATGTAACAAATCAATGACGATGAGTTTTCCTTTTGTAACAAGATATTTGATTGGTCCTTTAATATCAGTTCGTTTTCGTTATCTTGATTTCCATTAGGGTACGAGACTAGAAGCAACTGCTTAGTTTGTGTGGTTACCGGTTACCCCACATGTGCTGGACGTTTGATACAGTGACATCCATTGGCGATTCCTGGTTTAAAAATGGCGTTGAATGATACGTACATATTTTCTTTTGAGAAAGAATGGGATTATCCTTCGTTTCATAAGTACATGAAAGAACACTGGACAGACAGCATTATTTATTCTGCGGTGTATTTGATAGTTATCTTCGGAGGTCAGATGTACATGCAAAAGAGGAAACGATTCGATCTTCGGCCTGCGCTGGCACTTTGGAGCAGTGTTTTGGCAATATTTAGCATCGTGGGATCGTTTCGTGTGTTACCCGAACTGATTCGTTCGGTGAGGGACCATAGTTGGGAGTACTCTATGTGTGTAGGGTCCTACTACGAGGATCCGGTAGCGGGTTTCTGGGCCTTTCTCTTCACCTTATCCAAAGTAATTGAGTTGGGAGACACGGTGTTCATCGTTCTGAGAAAACAGGAGCTAATTTTCCTTCATTGGTACCACCACATCACCGTCCTCTTGTACGTTTGGTACAGCTACCCAGAGAAGATTGCTTCCGGCCGCTGGTACATCGCAATGAATTTCCTGGTTCATTCGCTAATGTACACCTACTACACCCTTCGCGCTATGAAATTTAACATTCCAAAACAGTTCAACATCCTTATAACATCACTACAGCTGTTGCAGATGGTCATTGGCATATCAATAAACATTTTTACATATAATGTTTTAAATAGTGCTAGAAATTGTCAGCAAACCTATATCAATGTAAAAGTATGTTTTCTTATGTATTTCAGTTATTTTGTGCTCTTTATTAATTTTTTCTATACTAACTATATAGAGAAGCCTAAAAAAGGCCACAACAAACAGCAGTGATAAAAGGTCTTTCATTAATATTCATTTAATTTACATCGAGGCTAAAACAGTATTTGTTGGGTACGCAATGAACTTGTTTAAACAAATAAAATGCATCTAGTTTTGTAGACCAGTTTAGAACAGTGAACAAAATTCTTAAACATAATTTTAAGTAAAGATTCATTTTCAGATGAACTTTAAACTGTGAAACTAAGACAGGATATTTTGACTTTAAACTGTGAAACTAGAGACAGGATATTTTGACTTACAGCACAAGATCAGGGACTTATTACAACTGTACTTCAATTCAGGTTGTACGAGCTGTAAACGGAGAAAGAAAAATTTCAGCATAACATAGCTCATGCCTTTTGTTATTCCAAACATAGTTATGTAGAATTTGATGTTCATGTCTTAAATCTTTGTACAGTTTGTACAGTTCTACAGCTGAAAATAACAATGAAAGTCTTGGTAGTAGCTTTTGTTGGGTTGTCTTTTTTTTGTACAGTTTGTACAGTTCTACAGCTGAAAATAACAATGAAAGTCTTGGTAGTAGCTTTTGTTGGGTTGTCTTTTTTTTGTACAGTTTGTACAGTTCTACAGCTGAAAATAACAATGAAAGTCTTGGTAGTAGCTTTTGTTGGGTTGTCTTTTTTTTTAATTAAAACAAAATGATTGTTGTGGTCCTAGAAAAGAAGTGGCAATTGATAATTGCAAGTGTTCAGATGTAGAAGAATTGATGTAATTGTTTATATTTATCAATCTATGTATGAGTTTATAAGTTCACCAAATATTTGTGAGGCAGAATGATACATTTACATTGGCTTACCAGGACTTGTTATTGGTTTGTGGTTACAAAAATAGATGCAAGCATTGAAACTTGGGATCAACAATGTCCACATAAAATAGTACATTTTGTTATACATACTTACAAATGAGTACACTTTAGAAGACATCTTGTAAAATGAGACACCTTGCAAATGAGTACACTTTATAACCATACCTTACAACTGAGTAGTTTGCAATCAGTACCTTACAACTGAGTACACATATCTTATGAATGAGTACACTTTATAACACATAGCCTACAAATTAGTACACTCTATAATACATACCTTTCAAATGAGTACACTATAATACATATCTTACAACTTAGTACACTGTATAATAGATACCTTCCAAAGCTTGTTATTGTTATAGAGTTCAATACCATTTTCAGCGGAGCCCCGAGTGGCAGAGTGGTCTATAGCGTTGTCTGTTACAGATCACTGCCATCTCACCTCTGAGTGGGTTCGAATCTAGGATTCAAAATGTGGCTATGTGAGAAAGCTTGTCAGTAGCTTCTCGTGGGTCGGTGGTTCTTTCCGTGGATTTCCCGGTTTCTTCCTCCACCATTAATACTGGCCGCCATGAATAGCAAATCGTGTATTGAAAAATGGCGTTAAGCCCAACAACAACCATTTTCAGCACAATGGCTGCCAATATCAATAGTAGACGAGGAACCCAGAAAATTCCAGAAAGAACCACTGACTCGTGAGAAGCTACTGGCAAGATTTCTCGCGTACCCACAATGGCCAAGCCTGCCTTCCAAAGCTAAACATTGTACTCTATGTATAATACTTCTTGAATCACAAAAAGTACTGATGGTCATTTGAAGCATGGATGGTGTCCATTTCTTATAATGGAAGTCAGTCAGCATTTGTTACCATAGTAATTAACATTTGTCATTTCTGGGTTTTTGGGAGGTGCAGTATATTGGCATTCTTTGCAATATCTGCTTGTCCTTACATTTATCCATCCACTATATAGTTTAACCTCTGTTAATGATTTTGAAATCATTCAGAGCTTTTTTTTATATTTTCATGTTCATGTCCAAGACGTTATCATAGAATTAATTTTCATTATGGACTACACTTATGATAAATATTGGTTTGGTTTAGTGTTTTATAGCACTGTAACAAATAGGTTATTTAGTGCCAAGGCAACTGGAGTAAAGTGCTTTCCTCAAGGACACACCACAGTAGCCAACCGAGGCTGATCTATTTTTTAGGATACCGACCCATATTCTTTTAGTCCGAAATCTGGTATTTTAAGCAACCCCGTCTCCAATAGTTGCCTCTTGCAGCATACAGCACAGTTCATCCGGGACCACTAAACATTCCATCTTGTACAACATGCAGGAGGGTGCATTATCCGAGTTTCCTCTGACCCTTACCTCTCCATTTTTAATATTTGGAAATATATGTTGGGGTGTACAGTCAGAGACCATTCCCAATTGAAAAGTTGGAATTCGCTGACACCATTTGGTGACGGCTACCCTATGCCGGTTACTAGCTGGCCTAGAAAACTTTAATGACCTTTTCTCAAGATGTATCTGCATGAAATTGATAGGCATTTGAACTATTTTCTCAGAACTAGTGAGTGTAGCATATGTTATATCTTTAATCTGCTGATAGACAGATGCAACTATAGTGTTGATGAAATTTAACCTGAAGCTCCCCATTTGCATTCTGAGTCACATGACTACACAAATCTTGTAACCTACATCTTAGTGAGATCTGAGGTCCAATAGTCACTTCATATCAACAATAAACCATTTTGAAAGTTGTGATACATAGAATTTGAAATTATTAATGTGATGTGATGTGATTATGATTTTAACATAGCTTTAACAATTTTTCAGTCATATCTCTACGATGTCTGCAGTGTGGCAGTTTATAGTGATGTCTAACACTAGGGCATCATGCCACAGACATGTAGCATGATATCCCACCCAGTCACATTATCCTTACACCAGGCTGACTAGTCCTAACACTTAAGCGAGGCAGCTGTTAGTATCATTTTTGTTAAGTCTTTGGTATGACTCAACGGGGAATTGAACCCTTGACCTCCCACATCCAAGGCAGACAATCTAACCACTAGGCCACCAAAGCGGTTTTGAAATTAATAATTAAAAGTCACCTAATACTTGTACGTAAATATAATGCACACTTAATTCTCAACATATTTATTCTGAGATCAATGACTAGACCCCTGTCTGTATTTAGTAAGGTGGAGAAAACCAGATTAATCAAGTACTAAGCACATGCCAGCAATGTGTTTTTGTTGGTATCCTATGATTACAATGTTGACCTTTGCTCTCCACATGTTGAATCTGTCTTTTATCAAGCTGCTGCAACATTTACAGATTTCTGGTTGTTTGTTGTTTCCAGAATAAATATTTTTAGAAGTTTATGTTCTTTTGGTTTTCTATAAATATTTTGTGACATTTGTTTCAATTAAATGTACGATTTGTTTTCCATACATCAACATTAAAAAAGTTTAATTGATATCACATGACTATTTGAACTCTTAAGTCATTAACATGTGGGTTGCAAGATTTGTGTAATCAAGTGAATCATAATGCAAATAGCAAGTTCCAGGACAATTTTCATCAACACTATAGTTTTGGCTAGTCTGTCTTTGGACTAAAGATATAACAATGCTACACTTGCAACATCTAAATATAAATCATAATCCTATCAATTTCATGTAGGTATATCTCAATAGAAGATTGTTACAGTTTACAGGCTACCCTATGCCAATACCAAATGATGTCGGCGAATTCCAACTTTTTGATGGGGAATGTACTCTAACCCTACACCCCAACATAAATTTTCAAATATTAAAAATGGAGTATCAAAGGTCACAGGAAATTTGGACTAGATCATGTATTGGGGCTCTTTCTATCTCCATAAGGTCACAGGGGATGAAAGAACTAAACAAGATACTAAATTGAATTTTCTGATGCCAAGGATATAGATCTCTGTAAGCAAGTCTGATGCAGCCCAGATCTTTTAATACTTGCCTTGGACTGTCACTAACTAGTCCTGGAACAATGCTTTTTTTAAATACAGAATTCTGTGAACATGCATTTTTCCTATCAAACTTTCAGACAGCATTCTGGTTTTAACCATTTGCTAAGGGTCCGGAATTGTCAGTCTGATCCAAAAATATTACTTTTTCTTCCTGACTCAATTTTTAAAAATGTCAACATTTAGACTTCATTTCTAGTTGTACATTAAAATTTCATAGGAAGTTTCTCTCATATTTCATTCATAATTACTTTTAACTAGCTAGTTTAGTTTCTCCTGTATCTTACCATCTCCCAAACAGTGACCCAATTTTGTGGGTAATAGGTTATTAACCTGTATTCAGTACCTTGATCTTTGTATTGTATATGTGTCCACCCAGAGTACTTGATCATTGCTTTGAATTCTGTTATAACCTTTGCCCCCAGATTTGTTCACTTGTCTACTACTTTGATTTTATATATATGTAATAATCAAGACTCAGCAGTCCCTTTGTTTTATTTGGTCCAGTCTGACCATTTCTCATTGCATCTGCCCACTGTGGCATATCTACATTTCTTTATCTGTTCTTGGAAACTTTTTACCATAATTAAGCAAAAATGCAGTTTAGTAGGCATGTATGTATGTATATATATATATATATATATATATATATATATATATATATATATATATATATATATATATATATATATATATATATATATATATATATATATAGTGAAAAGTTCTCATACATGTTTTATGAACACAGACCTAAGATAGGACTTAATGATCATGATTTTCAGTTAACTTACCTTCAGTTCTAACAACTAATTACCAATGACAACTAATTTCTGAACAGTTACATGTATATCCAAGATGGTCAAATCACTGTCATTATTCATATTTAAGATGCTAAATATTGAATATTTGTTTGAGTATATTTGGTGCAAAAACTGAACAATTTATGCATATATTTGTTGATTAAAATTAAAATGTATCTTCCACATGTCAAAGTAGAATTTTATTCCTTTAAAACATACAGAGACAGACAATAAACAAAAAATAGAATATAGACCATATAATATTGGCATGATCATAAAAAGTTGGATACTAAATTCTTTTGTTAAATTTTAGTTAATGATAATCAGTTTTAATTATTCTGTAATGTGAATTCCTTCAAAACTGAAGGATCATGGAACCCAACAAAAATTTTAGTCTTGATGGAGATTTGGGGATTAGAAAATTACTGAAGCTTCATGGGATTGGGGGCATAGTGATACTTTAGTTTTCAAGTTATCTCATAAACTGTACATGTTGTAGGTTCACACACACACACACACTATATTTTTGAAGTATCTCATTATAATATGTACATATGTTGTACATTCACACACAGTGTATATATATATATATATATATATATATATATATATATATATATATATATATATATATATATATATATATATATATATATATATGCATGTATGTGTATTAGTTCTTTCATTTATATCTATTCATGACACTTTGCCACTGCATGTATCCACCATTAAGGTAGTAATTATGAACACTGTATATGTCTGACCCAAGTAAAATGGAATAAGAAAAGGTGATGACACCAGAATGTAGTATTCATTTTTTACCATGAATTAACTTTATTTCTGCACAAAGCTTAGTAACTCTTTAACTGTTTCATGCTAATTGAAGTACCATATGCACTCAAAAGTCCAATCCAACTGCAGACATCACAGACACAACTGCCATTGCAGTTTTGGGTTTGTTCAGTTTGTTTGAAGTAATAAGTAGAACAAAAGCTTCTCAGAATTACAGTAAATTGTGTTCTGAAGTGTTGCATATTCTTTATATTGACCAGTTTTGTAATGTTGCAGTAATATAATTATAGTTTGGCTCAGGTTGTAATGTTGGAGCAATCAGTTAATTCTAGCTTAGTAACATTACTGCATTTTATGTACTGACATTTACAAGCTTAAAAAGGCCACTTGTTCCAGAGGGATGAAGATATGCATGTTAAAATCATTATTACATGCTTCATTGTTTGTGGGAAAATCAAAGACCCTTTAGCAATAATACCTTCTGGATAAAGGAGTCCTCTAGCCATTAACATCCAATTTTTGTTCTTTTGAATAAGTTGTGTGGTAAGTAATGCTATTTGTAACAGTGCAATAGAGGGATTGCTGTTTTGTTCACCTTGTACTACATTAATGGCCATCACCATCATGGAGGAAAAGCTAACTTAGATGCAATGACAATAAGTCTACATGTATTAGCATTTTAGAACACTTATTTCATTGTTGGAAGGCATTGAAAATTAATACCATTTAAAGATGTGTCATTTGATTAGGATTCTTGAGAAAGGTTGATTTGATCAGTATGCACACCCATCTTACATCTAGATAGAAATGTTATATTATTGTGTTATGAAATGGTTCATGGTCCAGTCCAGCTAGACTTGTTATAGACACAAGGTAAGAAGGTAAGTTTTTTTTTTTGGCCGAGTCTGGTTGTATTGGCCAGAGAGAACACTGGATCTATACAATCAGATGCGGGCCACTGCCTGACCAGAGACCTTTAAGAAAGTTACTGAAAATTAAGAACACTTACAAAGGAGAAAGGTAATAGTTATACAGTACAGTATATTCTCATTTATTGGACAAGTACAACTGCAAACTGCTCAGACCTAGATCTGCCATCCCATAATGCACAGGCAGATTTGGGTTTTGCAGTTAGGAATGATCAGTAGAATATACAACATAGACTTGGATCTGCAGGCACATTATGCTACGGCAGATCAGGATCTTTGTTGTATGCAGTCTGACTCGACTTTTAAGTGAGTAGATACAGTATATGTGTTATGTGCATGGGCCACTAGTCTCTGTATGCTTCATTTCATCAATTCAAAATATGATTATTATAAGTTGTTTTTTTTAATAAAAAAAAGCATTGAAACATGTAGTCAGTGTTAGACTTTGGCATAGCCAGTAACCTTCCACATTCCCCTTCTCATAATTTTTGCTATAGTCAAGGACATTGCACCTAATGATATTAAAACTTTGGCAGCATAGCTGTAACACTGCCTGTATGTATGTATGCATACAATTTGTGAAATTGAGATATAAATATCTGAGAGCTATATCAGTGTGTACTGTTAAAAACTGTCAAGCACTTGGCCATTTAATGAATTAAACCTGATAAAATGTGTGATAGATCTAGGTCACAATTTAATACTTTCTGGAGCTTAGAGTTGAATTGATAGTCTGTATCATTACACCCAGGTGTGATAACATGAACATATTTAGAGTTGAATTGATAGTCTGTATCATTACACCCAGGTGTGATAACATGAACATAATACAATATTTTTGCCTCGATGCCACCAAGCAACTTCAAAAGAGTGATAATGTGCCATTCATGGTTGGGAAGGTGTTGCATACAAAAACACTACAGCCATACTTCATCATCTGCATGATTACATATTTAGTAATTAAATGATGTATAATATTACTATTTATACTCACTTTTAAGTTGGACCAACTGCAAACAATATGGACAATGATTTGTAGTTGCATAATGCACCAACCAATCATGTTTTCAGTTGTTTGTTAATTTCTCCTACTAATCTGCACAGACCCAGGTCTCCTAGTGCATCATGTGACCGCAGATCTTGTTTATGGAGCTTGCAGCTGGATTTGACTTGCAAGCATGCATTTATGGTATTTCTATTCTAAGAGTGCATGCACATATGGTATTTGTTGTACATACATATATGGTATTTCTATTATTTTATGTATGCATTCATATATGCTATTTCTAATCTGAAACATGTGCATTCATATATGGTATTGTGCACATGCATATATGGCATTTGATGTGTACATGCTTATATGGTTTTTCTATTCTAAGAGGTGTGCATGCATATATAGTATTTGTTGTGTGCATGCATATATGCTATTTCTGTTATTCCATGTATGCATTAATATGTGCTATTTCTGTTATAAGATGTGTGCATGCATATATGCTATTTCTGTTATTCCATGTATGCATTAATATGTGCTATTTCTGTTATAAGATGTGTGCAT